AAAGGAATACCAAGATTCCCAACCTTTTTTTGACCACTTTGACCAGGGACCACTCTCCAACATTAGTACCAAAAGGATTACGAATCAGTTTTTGGTCAACTTGAGATTCGGTTTGGTTGTTTGGGGGTGCGGTTTCAAAAAATTGTATTGGATAGGCCACATCAGGTCTATTTTCTGATATAGAACATATGCTATCCAGTAGCCACCATCTCTTCATCCACAGAAAATCATGTTTAATCAGCCTCAGCACTATAAGAGGGTTTCACGAGACCAGTCACTCTCATTGCAACAGTGTAACAACGGTGAGCCCGTGAACCATATTTTAGTCCTTGCGGACCACTGGTGGTCCACAGACCACAGGTTGAGAACCACTGGTCTAATACAAATACCAAAATAATCCAAATACATGAAAACTAAATATGCAAAATATAAAGGTGAAATTGCAAATCCAGAATGGTGTAGTGTAGTGAGTGCTGCGTTTGAGCAAAGACTGGGGAATTCTAATTCCCATTCAGCCATGCAAACCCTGTGGGCGAGTCACATTTTCTCAGAATCCTAAGAAGGAACAAGGACGCCCCCCCCCCCCCGCCCCAATCTGCAGATCTTGTCAAGGACCCCCATCCCAATAGATTTGCCTTAGGGCCAGGATAAGTCACAAGCAACATACAGTTAAAACAACAACAGCAGCAAAATTTAAAATTAAACTGGAATTCCACAATGACTTTAAGAACTAAAGTGCATAACTGAATTTCAGATCTCAGAATCAGCTGGCCACGCTCATCATGACTTTGCAGGAATGGAGAGTGGGAAGTACACAGCAAAAACATTGTCCCCAGGCTAGGTCAGAAGCCAGCATGGAAAGGCTGAGCCACATCTCACTTCTCTGTGGGAAATCACCTTCAGGTAGTGATTCAGGCTACAAACCATAACTTTTCCCTAGCAAGAATCACTTCCTCTGTTTATTTCATGCCCATATTATTGAAGATTTGACAATAGACATAATGCAAGAGTCGGAATCACCTACCTACAAAGTCACAGTCATTGCTAACACTGCAGAAACTAACGCACCTATTCGTAATTGGGGGAAGGAGGAGTTAGAAGGGAAGGAAAACTTCATGCCCTTGATTTATAATGCGTTCACGCAGCCATATGTATTTCATAATATTCCTATAGAGGTAAGTCAAAGAGACGATCAAAATATTGTCCTCACTCTAAACCAACTTCATGATGTCACCACATAAGTAATTTAATTTGACTTCACAATGATGTTAGGAAGCCACTGCAGAATGATTAATTCCTATCCTGTATTGTCAAAGGCTTTCATGGCCGGAATAACTGGGTTGATTTAGGTTTTTTGGGCTATATGGCCGTGTTCTAGAAGCATTCTCTCCTGACGTTTCACCTGCATCTATGGCACGCATCCTCAGAGGTTGTAAGGACCTTCTAGAACATGGTCATATAGCCCCAAAAAATCTACAACAGTCCAAATCCTATCTTCTTTTTTCATAACATGATCCTAGTCGGTTTTTTGATAAATTCCCACCAAAGACTTCTTCAAAACAGGCCAGGGGGTTTTCTATACTAACCAAAAGTCCTGGACTCACTCAGATTGAAGTGTCTCTCTCTTCATTTTTGAATTGTAAACTACTTTTTAAAAGTTATACTAGTTTGCCTTGCTTCAGGCAAAGAGGAGGAGGAACTTCAGAGTTTGCCAGATTGGGTCCTATTCAGTCAAATCCAGACGGAATATGGGTGTCATCACCCTTTCCCTGTGCTCATCAGTTCAAGGAAAGGGATGAATTATGGCTGTGTTGCCATCACTGCTATGGAGCTTCCCACGAATCCCTACCCATCATTTGCACCCCTGCAGACATCAGAATGTGGCACTCACACCACCAACATAAAGAAGGGGATCAATCCCCCCTCATTCCTCCAGGTTGTGTGGATGCCCCTGCCAATTGCAGAACAGATGCCCATGAGACCAGGGAGAAGGATGGAGCGGGGTTGCCTCCCTCTCTCATGAAACTTCACAGTTGATTCTATGGTCAGCTAGGAGCAACGATGGCAGCGATATGGAGGAGGCAAGATGTGTGCCATCCCACAGAGTGCCTGTGTTCACCAGGTAGGTGAGCAACACACCCCGTATGTATGTGCCAAATGCAAAATAGATGTATAGGTGGCTAAATCTCTGTAGATCAGCCCTAAAAAAGCTTACCAGATCATAGGGAAATGCAGCAGTATATTTGGTAAGCACCTATATTTAAAGAACAATCTTAAGTTTGGGTTGTTGTGAGTTTTCCGGGCTGTATGGACATGTTACAGAAGCATCCTCTCCTGACATTTCACCCACATCTGTGGCAGGCATCCTCAGAGGTTGTGAGGTCTGTTGGAAACTAGGAAAGTGGGGTTTATATATCTGTGGAATGTTCAGGGTGGGAGAAAGAATTATGTCTGTTTGAGGTGGATGTGAATATTGCAGTTGGCCAACTTGATCAGCATTTAATGGACTTGCAGTTTCAAGGTCTGGCTTCTTATTGTCTGGGGGAATCCTTCATTGGGAGGTGATTAGCTGGTCCTGATTGTTTCTTGCCTGGAATCCCCCTTCGACAGTCCATTAAATCTAAGTTTGCCTGCTCTGTTATAATTGGCCTCTTGTTTTTCACTTTATATGTAGTTTAGTAAAGTTTTTTTTAGAGTCAGCCAGTCCCCAGTTGTTCAAAACAGGTTAAAATGATTATTTGCTTACACTATAACAATGTCTGGAAAGTCACAGGTCCCTCACTACCTCTTAACACAATCCTAGACATGCCTTCTCAAATGTAAGTAAGTATGTCCCTTGGTTTCTACTGGGTTATACCCAGCCTTAGACTCTGAAATTATATACCCAAACCCAGGTATAATCCAGACTGTTGTTTTCTGTTTTTTCTTGGCAAAATTAGAAAACTTTAAAATAAAACCAATTGAGAAAGAATGATTATAGAATGTGGGTTGCTGTGAGTTGTATATTCCAGAAGCATTCTCTCCCTCTCCTGACATTTTGCCCACATCTATGGCAGGCATCCTCAGAGGTTGTGAGGTCTGTTGGAAACTAGGTAAATGGGGTTTATATATCTATGGAATGTCCAGGGTGGGAGTTTTATTTCATTTTATAATGTTTTATTTTAGAATGATCTATATAAATAAAAATGTAATGTTCATTTGTGGGATTAACATAACTCAAAAACTACTGGATGAATTGACACCAAATTTGGACACAATACACGTATCTGGACAACGAGTGACCATCACTCATAAAAACACTGAAAAACGCAGTGGAAGAGACTTAAAAAGAAAAAAAACCCAAAAATACATTACAACTCATGCACAAAACCACATATATGCACAAACATACACACACATATATATATATATATATGCATATATTCACACACAAAACACATATACACAGACTGGGCCACAGCAACGCATGGCATGGGATGGCTAGTAAATAATATGTTTAAAACAAGAGCATTTGTATATTTACTATCTTAATATTGTTTCTAAAATCTATTTAACTTGAACACTTATACATAAGGAAATGGACAGTATCTAAGCATTGCTCATCTTGATCACTTTTTATCATTTATTTTTAAGAAAATTAACATTTTATGTTTCCTTGAGACTATGTAAGACTTGAGGAGACAAAATAATTATCTGTTTTACTAATTTTGATGGTTTCTTCTGCTTTGATTATTTTTGCCTGCTCCTAATAAAGTGGTAGAGTCAAAGAGGTCCCTTGTGTTTCAAGATCCATTTGTAATTTCTTTTCAAATATATTCTCTTTTGGACTGTATCTTGATAAAAACGTTAATGACTTCCATTTTCCTGCACTTTGATGGGGATAGCAAGCTTTCAGTTTCATTCAGGATTTCTTGATTTGTTACTCTGGCCTTTTCTTTCTGTTTCAGGAGCGACTTGAGAAACTGCAAGTCACTTCTGGTGGAAGAAAATTGGCCGTCTGCAATGACATTGCCCAGGAGACACCCAGATGTTTTGAAGTTTTACCATCTTTGTGGGGGGCTTCTCTCGTGTCCCTGCAAGGGGAGCTGGAGCTGACAGAGGGAGCTCATCTGTGCTCTCCCCGGATTCGAACCTCCGACTTGTTGGTCTTCAGTCCTGTCGGCACAAGTGTTTGACCCATTGTGCCACCGGGGGCTCAGTAACTAAAAATTAGCATGAACAAGACTGTGGAAGATTTAATCAATGTCTGAGCAGGCATCTTGTGAGTTCATTGCTAAGACTAGAACCAAGCGAACATCAAAGTTACCATTATTTCCCACTGCATAACCTTGAAGACAGATGCTACTACATGTAATTTGGTATGTTTATACACAAATGGTTCGCCAAATCCTTCCCGGCTGATGATGCAAAGTGATGAAATATCAGGAATGGGATCCAGGGCTGGTGCTGGCTGATTATATTTGATGGATTAGGACAATCAAGATATTAACAATATGTCCATAAAAGGAACTGTTCATATATGAGAACCTCCCATTTCATCTCATACGAGCAATGTTGCAAAGGGTAAACAAAGTCATTGGGTTCCAACCCATTCACTATGATCAATGGAAATATGAATGTCCCGGGTATGTTCTATCTGTCCAGCATACAGGAACAATCCTTTAAAATAAAGAATATTCAATAGTCTTATAAACACGCCATAACATTTTCACATTCACAACTATTTTTCTATCCTTAAGTTTTAATTCACTTGCTTTGACATTTTAGGAAAACATAAAACAGCTAATCACTTCCAACTTCAAACAAATTGTCTTTTGACATACAAAGCGTGTCTCCAACATCTCAAATGAGGATGCTTGCCACAGATGCAGGTGAAATGTCACAAGAGAATGCTTCTAGAACGTGGCCATACAACCCTAAAAACCTACAACAACCCATCTCAAATTTTATTTATTAAGGCTCCACAGCTTGCATTAAATAGGACTGGGCGGTCCACTTACCAGTTGCTGACACTGCAAGGATGGGTGGCCCACATTCTGTACTTGCGGGGACCTAACTGGTGGGATCTCTCGCTTCTGGTCTAAGGGCAGGATGGATTCAGACAACGTGGAGGGACAGTGTTCCAAATGACTTAAGAAAGGGAACAGGAACAATCCCTTCGTTCCTCTCTCTCTCTCCCCCTTTCTTTTTCTCAGATGAGTTCTGTACCTTCAGAAAGAAGGAAGGAAGGGAGGGGAGAGGAAGTCAACAACCCTGAGCTTTCCTGCAAAAAAAATAAGGAAACGACAGATAGCCATCTCGTTTTCTCTCAAACAAAATGTTTGGAAAAATAAATATCACCAAACCAAAAGAAATTCCTCAAGTATTATATCTTTATGATGGATTTTGTAGGCTGTAATTTATAACTCAATGGGTGGAATGCCATCAAAACAAACACAATGTTCCAAAAGCAGAGCCTTGCTTGAGGAGTAGGATGCCTGTATCGAGAAACATTTTACTGCCTTAGCAAGGAAAACACACTGGGTGATAGATAAAGGAAAGAAAATAACTTGGTGGACACACTGAAAAAACCCAAAGCCTTTCTCAATGCTGGTCAAAATACACAGATACATGTTTTAAGTATGTGTTTATCTGATTGATTGTTATATTACAAAAATCCATATTTCTTATCTCCTACTTAGGACCAAAACATATACTATAACAAGTTTTTGAACCTATATTTCAACTATTTCACATATTTGTTTTTTTGTTTTTAAAAATATTGCTCTAAATAAATACAGTTATTGGTTTTGTTAATCCATGAGTGTGTGTGCAGACACGTATGCACACGTACACATTCAGCAATGGCAAATGAAGAGATATGTGCAAAGTGCAACCATGAGCAAGTTAGTCCCATATGTGACTACTATATAGATATAAAAAAGGTAAAGATTTCTCTTTGACATTAAGTCTAATTGTGTCCGAACTGGGGTGTGTGTGTGTTCATCTCCATATTTAAGCTGAAGAGACAGCGAAGTCTGCAGATACTTCCGAGGTCATGTGGATGGCACAGAGTGATATTAAATCCCCTCAGTACCTACCGATCTACTCACATTTGCATGTTTTCAAACTGCTAGGTTGGCAGAAGCTGGAACTCACAGCAGGAGTCACCCCACTCTCCAGATCCAAACTGCCAAACTTTCAGTCAGCAAGTTCAGAAGCTCAGTGCTTTAACCCGCTGCACACCGGGGGCTCCAGATATAGTTAAAATAAATGATTAATTCAGTTGGAAATGTTTTAATGTAAAGGGTAGCTTAACTACATTGAATGAGTGTCATTATTACAGTCACTCACCAGGAACATAAAACTTTAGAACAAGGGTTCTCAAACTTTTTCAGATGTGAAACCCTTTTTTTGAAGCAAAAGTTGCTTGTGGAGCCCCAAGAAATGTTTATATATTTTATTATATATTAAATTATTTATAGTGTATATATAACAGGCATGGGCCAGGCCAGTGGCAAATGGATGGAGAGTTTTTGTGTGAAATAATTCACACAGTGCAAAAAAGCAAGAAAGGAAAGAAAGAAAGAACAATACAATATTTAGAATGAAGAACAATTTTAACCAATATAAACTTAATAGTGTTTCAGTGGAAGACCCCAGGAGCCACCCAGTCCAAACCTCTTCTGCCATGGAAGAAAAGCACAATCAAAGCACTCTCAACAGATGCCCACCCAGCCTTTGTAGTAATAATAATAACAGCAGAAGCCCTGAGGCCATCCAGACCAACCTCTTCTGCCATGCAGGAAAAACACAATTAAAGCACTCCCCTGAGCAGTGGGAGGGGAATAAGCTTTTGGAAGCAAAGAAAGTGGGGTTGTGTGGGTCTGGATGGCAAGGAAAAGAGTCTGGGCAGCAAGGGAGGCAGTGGAGAAAGGGTCTGTGCCCCAGGAGAACGCTGTTGCTACTGCTGTTGCTGCTGCTGCTTTTGTTTCCAGCGGCTCAAAACTTTAATTTCCCAGCGTTTCTCAGGAGGAGGAAAGAGAAGGCAGGAAGCAGTATGAGTGATCATCCACAGAGCTCCATGGGCTCCACAGAGCACAGTCTGAGAACCTCTGCTTTAGAACATTAAAACATTAAAACAGGCTTTTTTCTTTAAAAAGTGTTAGCTTAATTACATTTGGCATTAACTTTAATTGATTGATTTACTTTGAATTTCAGCATTAATATAATCTAATTAAACTGTTAATTAAATTCATCAATGACAGTGCTGAAATGTCAGCAAATTATACATTCTTAAATGGTTCTCTACCCAAAGAGAAGTTTTATTGAATTTTTGCAAAATTACTTCTTGCTTTCTGTGAGTCCATCCATGTTGGGGAATTACAGTGTACAGAGCGAAACCGGTTATTTTAGTTCATGATTAGAGTATAACAGTTTAATATATTCCAAGGCTACAAAACCATTTAAAAAAGGAATTGCTTCTTGGAAGAGTGATTTTCCTTGCATTAGGATAGCCCATTTGTGTTTTATGCTAGACACCACACAGAAGCTCCTCATCTAACCAAAAAAATTTACATTTTGAAACTTTTAACAATTGGAATTTTGTTGGGATTCATAAGAAAATGAATTTTTTTAAAAAAATGTAAGATAAAATATAAAGGAGTGAGATGGATGGGAAATGGGGTTTTCAGAAATTAATGCAGCTGTTTCCTACTCTTCCTTGCTCAAACAGTGGTAATTGAATAAGGAAACGTAAAGTAATGGATGCCATTTTTAGTTTGATTCTGGTATGGATTGCATTGAGTTAATAACACAAACCTAAATGATAATTTAACATAATCTTAGTAATGAATCACCATCCTCCCTAACGTATGTGCAATTGAATTAGTTTTTTTAGCTTATTAACTATTAATTGTACCCATTAACCCCACTCTGTTAATATTCCTATCTCTAGTGTGATGCACTCTCAGTAATCTTTAGTAGAGTGGTTTCCAATCTGTGGTCCTCAAGAACAAAAATATAGTCCACGACCGCACCATTACTACACTGATGCCTCAAAACCATGCACCATTGAGAGCGACTGGTCTTGCAAAACCCTCTTATGGTGCCGAGGCAACAGGAATGTTGGGAGGGGAGAGGCTGACTGCCTATGAAAGACTACCACATCAGCTCAAGATTATTAAATATGGTTTTATGTGGGTGAGCAGATAATAACTACTGAATGTCATATGTTCTGAAGCAGAAACTAGAGCTGATGTGGTCTATCCAATGCAATTTTCTGAATCAGCATCCCAAATAACCAAACTGAATTTAAAGTTGACCAAAAACCGATTTGTAACCCTTTTGATACTAATGTTGGAGAGTGGTCCCTGATCAAAGTGGTCCCTGGTCAAAAAAAGGTTGGGAACCACTGTTTTAGTCAGTGACTGGCAAATGTGGTCATCCAAATGCTTTAGTAGTGTAAGTCCTGTGACCTTTCATCTTTCTCTATATTGGCTAGAACTTATGGGAGCCACAAGTGGAAAACATCTTGAAGGTCACAAGTTCCATGTACTTGCTTTTTGAAGTTCAGGTTGGGAGAACAGTATCAAAAGGGCTTCAGGCATCGATCAGCAAAGCAGAGGTAGTCACAGGTCAAGGCAATGATATCCTGCTGGAGAATAATGCTCCACCAGAACTTTTGTACTGGGCTCCTACTTGCAATCCCAATAAAGCACATCCTGATGGTGCCAAAGTAGGCTTCAGCTTCTAGTTAGTGTCTGAGGAAGGGCAGATGTGTTACTGGCAGAAGTCAACACCCATCCTCCACCAAGATCCAAAGTACACTGGATGTACTTTGGGAGTGCAGTTGACCTAACGAAGAAGAAGATGTCTTGTGTGAGGAAATACTCACTACCTCCCTCCACATTGTCCCTATGATCATGTATGTATGCTGGTATAGCCCTGAGTCATGCCAGTGCATGTTGCATGGGGTATTTTTTATTTATACTTCTTTTTATTTTTATGTCTTTTTAATTGGGTTTTAAAATATAGCTACAAAAGAAAAGAGGGGAAAGTGGGAAAAAAACTGAAAGGAAAAAATATATAGAATATTATCATGTTCTGAATGTACACAGTGATTTAAGCTGATCATATGTCAAGGAAAATGACAAAATGCTGCTTGGAGTTCATGTCAATAGAGAATGATTCTTCCCATAAGTACTACAAAAGAGTAGTCCATAACAATTAGATCAATATGGTCTATTTCAGGATTTCTGGGCACATTCTTTCTGAGCATAGAGAGAAATCTTTTGCTTCTGGTTTCAGGGAAGGTTTTTCAGGCTAATTATAATATGAATTGAATGTAACAATAGTTAAATTTGTGCTATCTCTGATGATATTTATGGCTGCTCTTTGCAATGAGAGCCACAGATCCAGAGTAATTGCATTTTGAATCACATGTCTCCAACCTGTTGGCTTGCTGGACTTGAATTGCCCTCATCCCTGCTAGCAAAGACAATTGCCATGCAGGCTGAGGATAACAGAAATTGGATTGCAACATGTCTGTAGATGTATTCTAACTATAGTGTCAGAAGCAAATTGAAAATATAGTTATAATGTATAAAAAACACAAAGTTAAAAACTTGGCATTATACTAAATTTCCTTTGACCAGAAACTGGCCACTTGGAGTGCCTCATGTGACACTGTAAGAGATCCTCCATTGTGCATGTGGCAGGGCTCAGACTCCATTGTAGTAGGTGGTCTGTGGTTTGCTCTTCTCCACACTAACATGTCATGGACTCCACTTTATAGCCCAATTTCTTAAGATTGGCTCTGCATCTCATACCAGAGTGCAGTCGGTTCAGTGCCTTCCAAGTTGCCCAGTCTTCTGTGTGCCCAAGAGGAAGTTTCTCGTCATATCAGCCACTGATTGAGGTTCTGGGTTTTAGCCTGCCACTTTTGAACTCTTGCTTGCTGAGGTGTTACTGCTAGTATCTCTGTAGAACCTAGGAAACTATTTCTTGATTTAAGGCATTGGCACGCTGGCTAATATACAAACAGAGGATGGGCCAGAAATGTCACTGCCTTGGTCCTTTCATTACTGGCTGCTACTTCCGGATGGATATCAGGTGGTGCAATACCAGCTCAACAGTATTATTTCTCCAGTGGTCTAGGGCGTAGACATCCTGTGATAGTGTGGCAGGTCTCATTAAGAACCACATCCAC